CTCGTCCTGGGGATGTATGTATATGGACTTGGCTCTTCTTCGAAGGCGGGTTCTCCGAGTAGACAGATAGCCCGAAAACGATGAACGATCCTCGCCCAGGGACCTAACGGCACAGAGGGGAAAAACCACACGGCGACGCCCTGCCCCCTTCCCCTCGAAGCGAACAGAACATGGAGGACGAGCAGAAGGAGAAGAAGGAAGACGGAAATGGTGGATGCGGAGGTGGACGAGCAGACGGCGGGGAAAAGACAGGATGGGTGAGGAGGGAGCAAAGGAAAAGTAGCATGAGTAAGTCGGTCGAGGAAGGGGGAACCGCTGAGGAACCATGAGGCGAAGCAGCAGTGGGACGTGAGATGGAATTGGCGACGTCTCAAATCATAACCTCACGCAAGCCAGCCCTGAAAATGCCCACGGACAAGAAACGCCCGAAAACGAAACACAAGTAGGTGAGGAGCTCGAGGCTGCGTGCGCCGACAACCCCGACTGAATACCTCGCATGCAGCATCCGAAGCGCAACTACATAGAGGAAAGAGAACGATGCACATGCACCGATTCTGGCCAGGCCCATCCTGAGCCCAGGTTCGGTGCATACGCCCTCCTACCTTGGCCAGGAAGGCATATGCACCGATCCTGGGTCAAGGATGGGCCTTGCCAGGATCGGTGCATGTGCATAGTTCTCTTCGCCCGACTACATTGAACCGAGAGTGGTTTGCGGCCCACGCAGTGCCGAAACCACTGGTCATCGGGCAACCCCGAATACCGCTGAGCACCGCAAAAAAACTCTGGAACGGGGAATCCCCCTGAAAACATGCTTGTTGCCGATGCCACCCGCATACTTCAAACGAAGAGGCACAGCGATTGCACCGTTGAATTTGTCAAAAACACACACCTGAAAATAATACCGCACGAGCGCTCCAACGAGAACATTCTCTCCAATTGAACATCTGCCATGCTAAACGGGCCTCAATCGGCCGAAATCAATACCGCGAAAATGCCCACAGAGACACTGGCACCAGTGAGTGACAGCTGCAGCCCCTTCCGCCAAAAACAATACACTGAAATGCAATGGGCGGGTGGGCGAATGCAGAAATAGGGCCTGGGTCCCATCATGGCCCCTGTTACCACCATCCGAAATTCAAGCGCGTGATACTCCGAAGAAAGCGCGCCGCCCGCTGAGTTGCCCCGCTGGCCCCTCCGCGGGGCCGCTGCTGACACGACTGTGGCTTGGCGACCTTGTGTATGCAACAGACGCGCGGCTGAAGAGTACCTGGTGCAACGCCATCATCTGTCCACAGAGGAGCTCCCTTGTTGCCACGCAGAATTCTCTCATGATTTGCTTGACCGTGCGGTCCTTCGCGACCTCATGGGAGTCAGCGTACGTCACAAAGTAACCGCCAAAAAAGCGCAGGCTGACGCGCTCTCGCTAAGTTGTAACCGGTATAGCTGAAATCTCATTCGGCCGCACGTTAGCAAGACCACTGGGGGCGCATGCATGAGCTGACGACCCGTCACGCTCTGCCGTGGAAAGAATCTTCCACCTATTGAGTGTCGCTGCAGTGCACAAGCTGACTAAGTTGAGCACACCACCTCCCCCCGCACGGACTGAGCAGGATCGGTCAGGCAGCCTTTCCTGATTTTCGCCATCAAATCGCGTCCACTCTGAAGATGATGTGGGTCGTCTTGTCCAAAGTTTCAAGCCTTCGAACGACAGGCACCTGTGTCATAGATGCCACAAGAGCAGCTGAGCCCCCCATTCCAGCGAGGCCCGTGCTGCCGACTGATGGACATGGCCGTCGCATGAGGAAGCTACCCAACGATAGACTCGCACGCCATGCAATCGTACGTGAGCCCCCTCTCGGCAATGTCGGGCATGTGTCCCGTGCATCCCCGCAGGAGCGACCCTACGTATTCCAAGCACGACGCCGGGGGGCAGATGCACGAGATGATCACCACTGCCGGAGTCTGAACTGAGCCCTGTACTCGCACAGCTGGATCACGTCCCCGGCTGGCGTGTTCACTCCAAGCTGCTTCAGACTAGGCCCTGCGTGCCGCGCCGGCATGGTAATCTCTGCATATCCGAGGCCTCCCAGGCACGTAGAGTTTGAGCAGGACCTTCGACTGCAGCGCTGACCCCCAAGCAAGCACCGAAATCACTCATACTGCCATCGACAGTGGTACGCTTGAAACACGCAGAGGAAATGCCTCCCCAGCAAAGTGTCCGCGCCGACTGGACTGACCGTAGCCCCCCAAAACACTCGCTCTTCGCCACCGAACTCGACTGCACGAGAAAATGCGGTGACTCGATGCCCCCCGAGAACCACGAGAAGGTGCGAGGCTTGGTCTCGAGCCAAGCCAAAGGGCTGCTCGAGCCCAAGTGTCTTCGGAACAGTTGGGGGAGGGGAGGAGGAGGAGGAGGAGGAGGAGGAGGAGGAGGAGGAGGAGGAGGAGGGAGAGGACGGGAGGGAAGGGCAGTGGGGCAAGAGAGTGTGTAGGATGAAAACGAGGTGGACAAGAAGAAATACGGGGCGAATGGGAAGGACCACGGTGGGGCGAGTAGGAGGATCAAGTACTGCGTCGCGTTGGCCCCCCTTCCACTTTCGATACAATTTCCATGTGCCATCGAGGGAATGGCCAGGAGAAAGCACCAGGCAAGCCATCACCATGAACAAATAAACGGCAAAGCTGCGGAGGACACGAACGACGGCGGAGCCGCGCAGTATCCGCACTGCCCCAAGAAACAAGGATCGGCACGACCTTTCAAACCAAATCGAAACGCTGATGTTTCTCTCAGGTGCTCGAGAGGCCCGAAGCAACAAAGCGTGACACTATCGTAGACACATACGATCTGAAGATAAGACATGATCGTGGGGCACCCGTTGGCAGGCCAATCTCTCCTTTAGCGTGCCGACCGCACTCTCCAAATCCCATGTGAACATCGCTGCCGTCAGCGTCTGCACGGAGATCCGCTCACCATCCCTCGCGGCTCGGCACTGGACGCAGCGTGGAATCGGTCGCGGTGTCTGTGGTTCAGCGGCGTGCACTCAGCGGCAGTGGTGCGGCGTCCCCTCGTGGAGCGCTCTCCACCCCTCAGGCCCTGGATCTTCGACAGCACGCTGGCTCTGGTGTCGTCCGCCGCCGCTGCCTGCAGCGAACTGCCCAGTGCGAGCATGGCGCCAGGTGTGGAGGATAGAGGAAGAAAAACGATTATCAGCATCATTTTTTGGATGCCCGCGCGTATCTCTTGGATCTGCGCCGCACCCTCATCCCTGGCGCGCGTAGCGCGCCAAGGGCGGCGCCGGAGGCAGCGCTTGGGCGGGCCCAGCGCCGACCCAAGAATCCGCGCGGAGATCCGACAGTTCCTGATCATGCCCTGTGGTCTTCTACGCTAATCGATGCTAGTCGACGCTGAATCGGCGCTATCTCATCGATTACCAGACGCTACTCGAAGCGAGTGTGCGGAGCTACGAAGGTATACAAGGCTCCCTTGAGATGCCACCGAATGAGGTGGAGCCCGTAGGTGGCGACATCTGAACCCTACCCCTACCACCCATCGGTTCTCCTGAATCGATGTGAGGCAGGGGTACGATTCGGACTTCGCCACGTGTTCGGCGAATTCCGAGCCCCCCCCGCCGCCCATCGAGCTGCCTGAATGGTGGATCGGCGAAGGTGGCCAGCCGTCGCCGCGTGCTCAATGTCAGGCCGCCCACCTTCGAGACCCCCGCGGGGGAGGAGCCGCTCGTCAGCGCGGATATCCGCCGACCACCACTGCTCCAAGTAGAATGAAAGAGCAACTGCTCAAAAAACATAAGCTTTCGGAGCTCCGAATAGACTTCTTGGGTCGTCGGTGGACCCCCCTCCCTGGCGCGGGGGGCCCAGCGCCGACCCAAGAAATCCGCGCGGACCGGCGACATGTTATGTTTATGCCATGATTTCGTTGTTCCACCAGCAAGACCACCTTGTGACCTTGTGGAAACGTTCGCCTGAAAGCGCCTCCATCTGCTCCATTGCGATGAAGAGCCAACGCGCAGTGGACACCGTGAGCCTGATAGCCACTTGGGAAAAGGAGGGCTGGCATGAACAAAAACGGGTCCCGGTGGAACCGGGTGCTGGACCCGGATATCTTCATGCGGCAAGCTCGTGTCGCGTTGACCCCAGCGGTGGTGCCCTGACACTGCGGGGATCATTCAACCTTGAACGATTAGCCGCTTAAACGTCAGATCGTTCAACATCGACCGATTCTGGGTCGCTGGCGGCGTTCAACCTTGAACGCCGGCGGCGGGGTCGCCGCCGGTCGACACGACACGAACCTACCGTATACCGAGTGGTGTTTTGACGCCCGAAGGGCCCCGAGAGCCTGAATGGGGCCCCAGAGAGTCCGAGACCCCCGCTCCTCCGGGCCCCAGAAGCGGTCGACCCTTGGACTCGTCCTGAGGGGCGCTCCGGTCAGAATCTCAAGGCGAGCCCCGTGGCGACGGAGAGCCGCCCCCCAGATAGGAGGACGCCAACTATGCACCTGCACGGATCCTGGCCAGGCTCATCCTGGGCCCAGGGTCGGTGTGTGCGCCCTCCTGGCTTAGAGGGCATCCTGGGCCCAGGATCGGTGTAGGTGTATAGTTGGCGCCCTCCCCCCAGACCCCAGAGGCCCAGAAAGAGCCCCGAACGTGCAGAGGCCTCGAGCCCCTTCCCTCCACGAAGAGTGAGGGGCCACGTTATGGGGTTGAGGAAACACCCACCTGGAATCGGCGATGCATCGCCGACAGCTTGGCGATGCGCCCCTCGACTGCGAATCCGCACCTTTCTGGGTGGGGTGGGCTGTCGGCCCCTGTCAGCGATGAAGGGGTGGCTGGGTGGGGGACGAGGCGCCCCCCCCCCCCCCGCTGAGCCCGTTCCCCCCTCTGTCGTTGCCCCTGAGGAGACCTCGAGCCTCGAGGCCTTAAGCCCCCCCCCCGCGAGGAGGGCGGGCGAGGCGGGCGGGCGCGGGCGGGGGCGCCCCAGCGGGCCTGCCGGAGCTGCGCCCGGAGAGGCTCCGCCCGAAGCCCTGGGGGGCGCGGCGCGCCCCTGGCCACGACGACCACCCGCCCCCTGGAAGGTGGAGGAGGAGGAGGAGGAGGAGGGGGAGGGGGAGGAAAAGGAGGGGGAGGAGGAGGAGGAGGAGGAGGAAGAGGAGGAGGAGGAGGAGGAGGAGGAGGAGGAGGAGGAGGAGGAGGAGGGGGAGGGGGAGGAGGCACGGCCATAGGAAGGGAGGCAAGCGGACAAGACGCGAGCAAGGGACAAGAGAAGAGGGCAAGCGGACACGAGGCGAAGGGGAGAGAGAGCCCACGACCGTCCATCACCAGACCTGGATCGAAGCAGAGGGGCGAGGGTGGGGGCGCGCCTGGCCGTTTGCCGAAGGCGAGCGGCAGCAGCACGTTGGAATGCTGCAATCCCCTGTCCTGCTCCCTTCATACTATGGTAAACACTGTGCACGGTGTCAATGTATAGAGCAAGAGAAAGCACCTGCGACGAGGAAAAAGGACCACAGGGAAACACACACAAACAACGTTCCTCGCAACTTCGACCCCATGGGGAAGGAAGGGCAGACGAGAACGCACATTTCGTGCGAGGACGTCACAACAAATGACATGCATGAAAGTGTCCTGACACGATGCTTGACAAAAGGGGCAGTCGCGAGTCGGCCCTCTAAACCGACCCGAGGTGCACCAGGCGTTACTGACAGTTGTAAGGCAAGAGGAGACAAGGAAGGAGGGGGCAACATCAGCAACACGGAGCATGAAACGAAACGCCTGGTCGACATCGGCCCAGGACGTTTCTGGGCTGAAATGCCGAAGTCTGTCAAACAAAAACTGGTGCGGGGAATATTTCCTACGCCTCAGAAGAGCCCTCTCAGCTTTATGTTGAAACCTCCGATATCCAAAGACAGGGCCCCTGGGAATCTGACTCATGAAGTCATAGTTCTGCCACATCGAAATCGTGATGCTGTTCTTCCACCATTCATTCCACGCGCGCGTAATCTGGCACTCGTCTGAGAAGGCGAATTCAGACAAGCGCTTCACGGCCTGGTGGAAGGCACTGGATGTTGTCGCAGCCCGAAACATGGCAGCACGAGCAGCACATTCGAATTCACGAGCCCCGAGTTTGAAGCCGAGGGGGTCGAGGTTCATAATGAGGTCGGACGGGATGGCGATTCTCGGACCATTGGAGAGAAGTTGGAGGGACTGGTTCTCGATGGACTTGGCAAAATCGGAGGGGAAGTAGAACTGGGAGACATGAGACAAGACTGAGAGGGCATACATGTTGCATCGGGCGACTGACTTCAGTAAGCCAAGCCCAAGCCCCTGAATGCTCCTTGTACGTTCGATACATGTCGTGGCAGGGGCAATCCAGCTCTCTTGTGCGCCACCAGGCCCGACCACGACGCCCAGATACTTGCCGGCACGCTTGAAAATGAAACCTTCCTGCGAGATACAGTGCTGCTGGAGACGTTGACAGAATTCGGAGTAGGACATGGGATGAATCACAACAATGACGGTCTTGGCTACATTCATATGGAGTCCAGCAGCACGGCCTGCGAGGTCCCACGCAGGCAACGCGAGCACTAAAGTGGCGAAGACGTCGGAGCTGGCGATGCCTGTGTCGTCAGCAAAGACTCCCAAAGCGCCTAGCTGCGGGGGCAAGAGGTACTGCATGTACCGCAGGATCGGGTCGAACCCAAGACAGAACAGCGAACCTGACAGAGGACAGCCTTGCTTGATACCTCGGAGAGCCCAGAACCCAGCCTCTTGGAGCCCACAGAAGTTGATGCTAACCCACACGCGATGGTAAAGCTTACGCACAGCATCGCCGATAGACGTAGGGACCCCCATGGCTCCCAAGACCCACCAGATCTTAGTATGGAGTAAGCTGGGAAACGCGGCTCGAACATCGAAGGAGGCAAACCCCGTCCCCCTAGGACCCATTTGACATTACCATTGGAGAGCCCAAGATTCCAGGGTCAAAATGTTGTCGTTCATGTTCCGATTTTTGACGAAGCCCCGCTGGGCGCCAATCGCCGTTTCGCAACACAGGTCGGAGAAGGAGTAATTCAGAGTCCGAGAGATCAACTTATTGTCGCTGTTGGAGAGAGAGAGAGATCGGCCTAGTTACTTCAGGCTTGCGGAAAACCCCAACCGACTGGCCATCGTCCTCCACGCCCTTGGCAAAGGAGATCGCTTGGCAGAAATTGAAATCGGTAGAAAGAGCTCCACCCCGAAGAAGCGAAAGACAAAGTGCGTGGAGCAGTCGAAGGCCTGTGGTTCCTGATTTGGTCCATCCCGAATAAGGAATACCGTCGGGGCCGACTCCAGAATCTCGAACCTTGGAGGCCCTCTCGCAGAACTCGTCAAAACATATCCCCCATGGAATATGCCCAGGACATTGAACAACATAAAGTCTTAACTGCTCACGTGCATCCGAAGAGCCCTCTTCCAAGCCGTGCACATTGCCCCAGTGTTCCGCTAGACGGCCAGCGACGATTTTCGGATCAGAAATATGTTCGCCCGAAGGATCAGCGACGCCGGCGAGGGAAATACGTCGATTAGCTCCAGACCAGGCCGAAAGATATTCGTGAAGACGCTGCTTGGAAGAAGACTTGGTATTAGGGTGCACGTGCGGGTCTGCGTCGACCTCCGCAATCTTAGCCTTGACATTGCTAGCCGCGAGCTGGCCCAGCCAGACATAGAAGCCAGACATGTCCTTCCAGACGAGGTCGGTGGCATCAATGAAGCGAGACAAGTAAGGGCATGCACGCAGCGCTCTCCGAATTCGAGATGGCGCCCCTGCTTGCATCGCACGATGAGCAGCGAGCGTCCACGAGAGTTTCTCCGGCAACGAGTCCGCCTCTCTCTGCTCGAGCTCTTCTCGGACAAGCTTGGCAGCGGCACGGGTGACATCTTTAAATTCACGAACAGCAAGAGCAGGATCGGGAGAGAGAGGAGGAACCATATCCAGAACTTGTTGAATCGCCCGAGGGAGCACAGGACGACGACAAACCCAGGATGCAATCCGCGGAGTCCCCGAGGCCTGGAAGGGAGAGAGCGAGAGACAGACAGGAACATGGTCGGAGGGCCACTCTTAGTCGCACACCGCGGCGAGCGTGAGCGAGTTGGCCTGTAGGTCTATCAAGGACGCACTATACATGTTTGTGTAGATCCTATCTAGGCGTGCCACGGACTGGATAGACCGAACGTTGTCATGGATCTGCGTGCGCCTATGTGCGCATGCAGGCTGGGAAACTTCGGCGAGGCCAGGGAAAAGGCGAGCGAAATATTTTGAGAGCCCATGATTGTGATAAGTATTCTCCCCACCAATATGCGCCCTCCCCTCACCAAGAGCACAGAAATTGAAGTCGCCCAAGACGGAAGAGGTCCCAACAGAGGATGATAGGGCCCTCGACTTGATGAAACGAAGGGTGCGTTGACAAACGGAGATGGGAAGGCTGGGGTCGAGGTGCGCATTGATGATCTGCACAGTGCCATGCCGCCCTTGCAGCAAGAGCTCGCGAACTCGCCCCCCCCCCGAAGAACGCGATACTGAAAATGAGAGAAGAGCGAAGCAAAGCGAGGATGGATAATAATAACGCAACCACCTTTGATGCCGCAAGAGAAGCAAGTGCCGTACGCGTGCAGACCCTCGATCTCCTTTTTCAGATACATGAGGTCCTGCTGGGACCCGTGTGTTTCCTGAAGAGCGATAGTGGCGTGTTTCGAGATGAGGCGGCGAAGTTTCGACATCGCGTTGACGATCGGCTGAATCGGCGACGAGACGGATCCGAAGAGAGTCTGCACATTCCACGTAACGGCAGAGAAGTACTGCGTGAAATTGAAGGGCTGGTCAGGAAAAGAACAAGCACGGATGGCAGAAGACGGGCTGGACGGGCTGGACGGGCAGGAGGAAGAGGAGGAGGAACCACAATCAGAGGAGCTCTCGATGATCATTCCGCCCTCATCGTCGCTGCTCAGTGGGTTACCCTTGACTTCGGGGGACTCTGCAGTCCTCGGTTCGGACAGGGGAGCGTCCTATTCCATCGATGTAGCGATCATGGCCGTCGCGGCATCCGAGTCAATGCCGAACTTGGAGAGATTGTCGGGGAAGGCCTTGCACTCGAACTGGTTGCGGTCCGTGGGGATGAGCTCGAACAGCACGAACAAGCACTCGCCAACTTTCATGTACAGGATGCCCTTGAAGCCGTTGGAACCGATGGAGTAGTCCGTCTTCCACTTCCCGTCACGCTGCATGGCCTCGGTGATCGCCTGCCAGAGCCTGCCCAGGTACTTGTTCTTAACGCGGATCTCGGCTGGGGCGTCGAACCTCACTCGCAGGTTGACAGTGGAGTTTGTGGCCTGGTCCTGGTACTGCATGTCTGCAGAGCGGTAGTGATCCACAAAGGCAGCAGCCGCTTTCTCATTGGCGAACTTGATGCTGTACGACTTGTTGAGGTTGTATCCTCGAATAGTGGCTCCAGCAGTGTGATGAGATGGCAAAAGGCCGAGCAGGTGCTTGCCGTGCTCCTCGAGCATCGAACCCAACATCGGAGAGACAAAGCCGCTGACCCAGATCTTAAACCGGTCTCGAGAGGAGGCATCAACAGCATCGTCATGTCGACCGAATCGGGAAGGTCCTTCGGACCGAGCACGCTTGGCACCATTAGATGCGTGCCCAAAGGGATGTACACTGCCTGCGCTCGAGGTAGACGCAGTAGAGAGGCTGCTCACACGTGTCTCCAAGAGCTCGAGCTTCGCCAGAAACTGGCCCTCGGCGATGGACGCCACGCCCTGGGCCTCGAGCTTGTCCAGCCGTTCGGCGATGGTCGCATTCTCGGCCGCCTGATCGACCAGGTGAGCTTTGATGGCAGGGATCTCCGCGATGGCGGTGTTGATGCCACCCAACTGCTCTGTGAAGCTGGCGTTCATGGGGTCCATCTTCAGCAGCAGCTCTTTGATGCCGCGCTCCATCGCCTCGGCCGCAGAGCCCGCCATGGCGCCAGGACGGTTGGGAGAGAAGCGAGAGAGAGAAAGGTCCGCTCGGGCTCGACACCCGAATTGCCCACTGAAGTGAGCTGCCCGCTCAGGTGCGATCTCCCCAATCACACTTGAGCCAAAATGGCAACGGAAAGGGGAGGGGGAGGAGGAGGAGGAGGAGGAGGAGGAGGAGGAGGAGGAGGAGGAGGAGGAGGAGGAGGAGGAGAAAGAGGAGGAGCCAGAAGAGCTGCCGCCGCCGCCGCCTGCATCCCATAACCGCCATCGGCTCGCAGCGGTGCCCACGGACGCCGCCGAGGCTGATTATCCGAAAAGGGGAGGGGGCGAGCCTCGCCAATCCCCTCCTCACTCCCAGCCACCAATCAAGCCGTGCAGTTCGAAAACGAGCTGGGGAGAGGCCTCACACCACACGGCGCCCACGCGTGCCGAGCGGGGGCGGGCGCCCTCTGAGCACGGCACGGGGAGTCCGGCCCACCTCGTGTGCCACAGCTGCCAGATGCCCTGGGTGCATTCGGGGGGTGCAAGTCATGGCCCGAGGCATGTGCGCGGCCCGGGGGAGGGCAGGGGACGCACTGAAAGTAAGAAGAGGCGCCGCCGTGAGATCTGAGGAGATAATTACGATCATGGCCCCCGCCATGATACCCACCCCCCCAGTCTCGCACCCCCCCCGGCCGCCCCCGAGCACCGCCGGGTATCCCGGCCGGGAGGGCGGCAACACCCGCGGCGCGTCCTGGCCCAAGCAGCATCCATGACCATGAGACAACGGCAGCGACCAGCTGCAAGTATTCTTCCTTCTCGAGGACGGGAAGCCATGCGCACAGGCTCACACTGGCGGCCTGAGATAGGTCGAATCGCGATAGGACTGGATCGGAAACGGGTCGGGCCGCTGGCGAGTATAATCTAAACCGGACCGCCGCGCCTGGCTGCGGCTGGCCCCAGCCGATGCTGGTGAATCGAAACGGATCGGATCCAATCGGGATCGGGTCCCCGGCCGGCGAACCGAATCGCATCGATTCGGACGTAGGCGGCCCTTGGCCCAACAGCTGCTGCCTGGGCACAGGGTGGCCCAGGACGCCAAGGACGAAGCGACCGCGGCAGCCCCCGAGGCGGTCTGCCCCGACCCGAGCTGGCGGACGCGCCGCAGCCTGTGTCCGCGGTGGCGCTCGAGGTCCCAAGGCTGCGCAAGCTGCAAGCCCAGAGGGCACAGGATGGGTCCAGTCACGATCGGTCAGGTGGCCAAGAAAACCCAAACAACAAGGACGCCGATGGATCGACCGGCTGCTCCGTGAAGGCACGTGCTGATGGTCCACGGCCGCGATGCGAAGAGGACGCCCGCGCCCGCCCCGTAGCGACGCGTCGACAGGCGCAGCGGCCGGCCTGCCCAGAAGCTGCCGCAAGCGACGTCGCCCGACCGTCGTCGTCTTGCTTTCGGGTCATAGCTCGGTGTCCGGGCGGCCATTCGGGACGATCCGGGCAAGCCCAGAACGCCCTCGGCGAGGCGCAGCTGCTGGAACGTATCCCGAGGCTGGGAAGCCGCCATGAACCTAGGGAAGCACGTCCAAACAACCTCGACCGTCGAACACCCCCAGGACGCCCTCGGCGAGGCGCAGCTGCTGGAGCGCACCCCGAGGCTGGGACACCGCCAGGAACCGACCGAAGCTCCCGAAGACCTCGATCCTCGAGCCCCGCCTCGGCTCCTCCAGCTCGGTACAGGGCAGTTTCTAACACATAGGATTGTTCCCTACCTAGGCTCTGCCTAGAAGGGTTCTTGCTCTCTAGCTTAAAGGGGCCGGGCAGTGGAAAGCGCCCCGGGCGGTTCCCCCAGTCCCCTGGGAGCGGTTTCCCCCAGTCCCCTGGGAGCTTTAGCTTTAGCTTTAGCTTTAGCTTCAGCTTAGCTTTAGCTTAGCTGTAGCTTAGCTTTAGCTTAGCGTTTAGCTTAGCGTTTCGCTTAGCTTTTCGCTTAGCGTTTAGCTTAGATTTAGCATAGCTTGAGCTTAGCTGTAGCTTAGCTTTAGCTTAGCTTCAGCTTAGCTTTAGCTTAGCTTTAGCTTAGCTTTAGCTTATATTTAGCTTAGCTTTAGCTTAGCTTTAGCTTAGCTGTTGCTCAGCTTTAGCTTAGCTTTAGCTTAGCTGTTGCTCAGCTTTAGCTTAGCTGTTGCTCAGCTTTAGCTTAGCTTTAGCTTAGCGTTACTGTTACTACTAATGCTGCTTTCCTAGGGGTTCCAACTCCTAGGTCGGGTCGCACTGGGATAAGTTTAACATATAGGATTTTTAATACATGATTAATTTATGAACAGATGTATGCATGAACTCATCGTTGTTTTAAATACTAAATCCCTGCATGTTTAATGATCCGCACGTGGAGCATGTATTCAAAACGGCACTGTAGGCCGTCGCCGCCGGAGGTTCGCCTGGCCGATGCTGACGCCGGCCTTCAGGTCGCGGGCGCGGCCCGCGTGCGCGCCACGGTACGGCCTCGCCGTCACGGGGTGGGGCGGGCCGTGGCGCCCTGCGGCCGCTCGAGGTCAAGCGCGCTCGCGTTGCTGTCGTCCTCATCCCCGTCTTCCTTCTCCTCTTCCTCCTTCTTCTCCTCTTCCTCCTTCTTCTCCTCTTCCTCCTTCTCCTCCTCAGATCCTCCTTCTCCTCCTATTCCTCCTCTTCATCCTCTTCCTCCTTTTCCTCCTATGCCTGCTTCTTTGCCCTCTCCTCCTCCTCCTCCGCCGTCCTCCTCCTCCCCCATCCCTATCACCATCCTCCGGCACGCTGCCCCGACCCTTTTCTTTCGGCACGGCACCGCCCCCCCAATATCCGCGCGCCTCCCCTGCATTACCCCAACCACCAGCCAGCGCGCCTCCTCCGTCCCGGCCCATTTTATTTCGGCACGGCACCGCCCCCCCATCCCGAGCGCCCCCTCTGCATCGCCCCACGCACCAGCCAGCGCGCCCCCCTCCGCCCCGACCCTTTAATTTCGACACGGCACTGCTCCCCCTCCCATCCCGCGCGCCCCCTCCGCATCCCCCCACCCACCAGCCATGCCGCCCCCTTCCGCCCCAGCCCCCTCATTATATTGCACAGTTGTGTTCTAGAGCTCGGACCTATTCATTTTCGTTCGTCGTCGTCCACCTGGTCATGGCTCCCCCCCTGGCCCTGGCCCTGGGCCCCCTCGCCCCGCTGGCCCTGGCCCTGGACGCAGCCTCCTCCCCTGGCCCTGGCCCCCCACCCTCACGCTGAACCCTTTATTATTTTCGCTCGTCGTCGTCCTTTTGGTCCCAGCCTTGGACCTAGCCTCCCCCTTTGGTCCTACCCCCAACCCCCCTTCGTCGTCGTCCCCCTGGTCCTGGCAATGGACCCAACCTCCCCCCCTTGTTTTGGCCCTAGCCCTCCTCGCCCTGCTGGGATCCAGCCTCCTCCCCTGGCTCTGGCCTCAGGCCCCCTCGCGCCAGACACTTTATTTTCGTTTGACGTCGTCCCTCTGGTCCCAGCCTTGGACCCAGCCCCCTCCCCGGGCCCTAGCCCCAGCCCCCCTCGTCGTCGTCCCCCTTGGTCCAGGCACTGGACCCGACCTCCCCACCTGGTTTTGGCCCTAGCCCTCCTCGCCTTGCTGGCCCTGGCCCTGGACGCACCCTCCTCCCCTGGCTCTGGCCCCACTCGCGCTGGACCCTTTATTTTCGTTCGTCGTCGCCCCCTGGCCCTCGACCCAGCCCCCCACCCTGGTTTTCGCCCCAGCCCCTCTCGTCGTCGCCCCCCTGGTCCTGTCCTTGGACCCAGCGTCCTCCCCTGGCCCTGTCTCCAACCCCCCTCGCCCTGAACCCTTCATTTTCGCTCGTCGTCGTGCCCCTGGCCGTGGCCCTGGACCCAGTCACGTCCCCGCGCGGTATCCTTTATTTTCGCTCGTCGTCCCTGGAGCCAGCCTCCCCCCCCTTGGACCTGGCCCCAGCCCCAGGCCCCCGTCGTCCTGGCACTGGACCCGGCCTACGCCCCTGGTCCTGGCCCCCGCCCCTCGCCCCGTTGGCCCTGTCCCTGGACCCAACACCCCCTGGCCCAGCCTCGAAAAATCTACCGCGTCTCAGCTGTCAGCAAAAACTCAATCGAACTGTTTCAGCACCGGGGCGCCCCGGCCCCACCTGCCCCTCCTCCTCCTTTTCCTCCTTTTCCTCCTCCTCGTCCTCCTCCTCCTCCTCCTCCTCCTCCTCCTCCTCCTCTTCCTCCTCCTCCTCCTACTCTCCTCGATCCCCCACCTGCGCCTCTTCCTCCTTCTATCTTCAAATGTGCAAGAGCCAGAGCACGCGTGCCACTTATAACTTAAAGTTGCGTTTGTGGAAGGGGCACGTAGAATGCCAGGCGCTGCGCTGGGCGCAGAGGCCGCCGAGCACTTGGCGTTGCGCTGGGGACGGAGGGCGTCGAGGGAAAAAAACAATTTCAAGTTGTACTTGGGGGGGCCGCGGAGGACAGGGCGTTGTGTTGGACGCGGAGTGCGTCGAGTAGAATGGCGTTTTCAGGGTACCCTTGGGAAGGGAACCGGCGCAGTGCACTGCGTTGTGTTGCGCGCGAAGGCTGTTGAATACTCGGGCGAACATGCGCAAAGCCACCGCGCGTTGACGTGGCGCTGCGCGAAGAAGATAAAAGGCCCGCGAAAGCAACGACGCGCTGCCTGCGCAAGGCAAGGGAGAAAGCGTCGCGCAGAGAAGCGGAAACGTAGAATGCACTGCGGTAGCTGCATGGAAGACAAAGACACGCGATGCGCAATTAGGGGGGCCCGTGCTGAGAGAGCTGAGAGAGAGAGAGAGAGAGAGAGAGAGAGAGAGAGAGAGAGAGAGAGAGAGAGAGAGAGAGAAAAAAAAAAACATTTAAAACATACTCTTTCCTTTTGCGGGGGCTCGCGCGCGCCCGCTGCCGGCGCGCCGCGCGGCTCAAGGGCCCCGCGATCCGAGACGGCCGCGGGGCGGGGGGGCGACGGAGAGGCGCGGGAAGAGGAGAGGCTGAAATACACATGACAACCACAATAACACACGCAACCTCAACGACGCGGCGTCGCCGACCGGGCAAACGCGCGCACGCGCGCGCGCGACCCCCTGCCTTCGCCCGTCCGCGGTCCTCTCCCCATCCCCTTTTTTCGATTGCGCTATCCTGCGGCGGGCGCGTTCCGTCTGGAGGGCAATCCGTTTTTTCTCTCGCGCGATCCGGCGCCACTGCAACGGCGGCCCCCCAGGGGGCGCCCCCGCGGGCGCGCCCGCTTTCTTGCGCTTCCGGCAATGCTGGCCCAACGTTCCGTTGACATAATTCCGCAGGAAAAAGCAATGCTGAGCCGCATCGCGCCCATCTGCGGTGCGGGCCCGTCAGAGCGCCCGCGGGAAATTCGAACCCAAGTAAGAGACGACGGCCGCCTGACACAACTCGTTGAACTCAGCGCGCGCGCGCGCTCGAAATCTGCGACGCTAAACTTGCCCCCGAAAAAGAAGATGCCAAGTGAATCGGTGCTGGGCCCCAGGCCCAGGGCCACCTCAGGATCATCCGCGTAATCGCGGAACACTGGGACCAGCCATTCTCCGAAGCTCGCCGCTTCGGCGGTGCCAGCCAAGTTGACTGCGTTGAGAATCACCTCTGCGACGTTCTTGGTAACGAGTTACGATTCCTTGGATGGGTTTTGAAATAATCAACCACTTGCTTGTAGGTCGTGGTGGCCTCGCTCATTTGTGCAGACATATCTTGTCGCAATCGGCCGTGCCCCCCAGTGAGCACCGCCCCGGCCTGGGGCGAGCTCGGGCCTGGAAGTTTGGAGAGCTCAGAAGTGAACATCTAGCGCCGCACAATGTCATTTTGGGCCGCAATAAATTCGCCGAGGGTCTCTGGCGCGGAGACGACTTTGAACGCTATGTGCTCGAAGGGGCCCTCGATCAGCAGGCGCGCAGAATATGCCTGCCGAAATGTACGAAAACATGTCATTGGTGGCCGTCGGCGAATTTCTGCAGCCAGTCGATCGTGGACGCCGTCAGAGGGTCGTCCGGGGCGGGCCTGATGAGGTATTTGCGAACAGAGCATTATGTCTGCGCCTGCGCAATACGTCCCGACACATAAGATATATATATATATATATATATATATATATGTATATATATATATATATATGTATACAAGACTGCAGTGGCGCTTCGCGCCATGCACCTTGGTCCTTGAAGTTTGGTACGCAGGCGGAATCGCAGGAAGCTCAAGCTGACAATTTAGCGATAATTCCTTGTTGCCTTTTCCGGCATCGCCGCTATGATAATGATATTCCTTATCCTTCCTCCATGCTTCTTTTTCCTAATGTTCGTCATGCCCGGCGCATTCTCCTCATCCTCCTCTGTTCTTTTTTGCGGAGGCTCCTCCTGGGAGAGCCTCTAAGGGCCTCACAAAAATTGTTTCAGTCTTTCTTAGAAGCCTTCTGGAGGCCTCCTGGGCGTATTCTGGGGGCCTCTGGGGGCTTCCTCGGTCACGATTCGGAATGCTTCGGAGGGTGTCTTGGGGCCATCTTGGGCCGCCATGGGGCTCTCTGAGGGCCATCTTGGACCCGTGTTGTGCCGTTTTGGGGCTCTCTTGGACTGCCTGGAAGCCCTTTCGGATGGTTGTGGGGCGATTTGGGAGCCCCCCAGGCGGCTTCTGACGCCCAGAAGACCGCCGTCTTGGAGCGTCGGGAAGCCGAAAAGAGGAGAACCCCAAACTTCACCAAGAACCCGCAGAAAATCTATTAGTTGTTCCTCTTGGGGCCTTCGTGGGAATGCTCTTGGAGGCCTCTTTGGGGCCGTCCTGGAGGCCTCTTGGACCATCTTGAGGTCACGTCGGTCACTTTTGGGGCGCTCTTGTGCTGTCTTGGGGGTCCCTGAGACGTCGCCGATGACCCCCTGATCGCCCTAGGTGTGCTGGGAAGGCTTGGCAAAACGCCCTGCGAGGCCCGGGAGGCCGCTTCGAGGCCCGTCTGGAGGGTCCCACAACCCCAGATCCTGGGAATCCGGTTTTGGCGGGGGGAAAGTCCCCCCGCCCGGGCTTATAAACATATAGGAAGAGGAATACGTGCGTGCGTGTGGCAATCGAGCGGCATTTGCGCACGGGCATGCTTGCTCACCTTCAGTTTTGCCATGCCATTCTGGGCCAGGCCAAACGCGCGGACCATCTTGGCGTACGCTTCTTTCTTGTCGGTCGCCCCCCGAGTGATGTTCTATCCCAATCAACGGCCTTGGTGGCCTCAGTGGTCATAGCGGTGCGAGTCACAAAGAAATTAATACACGCCACAATGAGAAACACAACGGGGTTCCGGGGCAGGAACTCGCCGGTCCGGAAATCTTCCTTCCCTAGGCCGAACAAAGAGCGATAACCATACAATGTGCGAGGTAAGGTTGCCACGGCGGGCAAGTGGCTGACATGCCTGCCAGAACCTGCCCTGCGACCACCATCGGTCATTAGCACAACGTGCACCTCAGCCTGAACAGCTACGGTTCGGA